ATCTTGAATTGGATTGGCTCAGTCGATGAAGATTTCCTGAAAGTTTTAATAAAATCTGTCAATCATGGAATATTTTGCTAACAGACAAACAGTGCTGACTTGTTTTAAACATAGCTTTGGAGCAATTTGTTCACACTCCAAGTGTGTTTCGGGGCTGGGTCTCAACTCAAGTTTTAGTTCAAAACCATTAAAACTGACTGAGTTTACATCATTGTTTTGGCTAAAAGGTTGATTAGCCGTGGCGGCCATCTTCAAGTCATCAGTTGTAGATATTCAATTCAATTAAAAAATACTTTATTGATCCCAAAGGGGAATTAGATAAATTAGATATAAATCCAGAGATTCATCAAACTCCATCCGGTGGGTCGTGAGATATTTCACTAAAACACAAGTGAAAACACCATCACCACTTTGTGATGATAAATCCTGCTCCTACCTGGCTCATCCAGGTGTTCTCGTCCAGGCAGGTCCTCCATTTTGATGTCCCCCAGGTCGCCGGTCTTGGGGTCGATGGTGGCTTTGGACAGCTCGTCCTCGAAGGCCTGCAGGTCCTCTGCGGCAGCCACGCGGTCCTCCGCTTCCGTGAAAACACGGATGACGCCGTCGCTGTTGGGAGAGAAACCACTTGAGATGTTTACGGACTCGACTKAAAGCAGAACACGATCGGACGTGCGCGCTCCCGTTACCTGGCGCCGACGGCGACGTCGCCGTTGGGCAGGATGCAGCAGCACCACACGGACTGAACGGGCAGGCGGATGGTCTGGCAGCACTCCCCCTGCCTCCATATCCTCAGAGTCCGGTCCTCTCCCGTGCTGACGAAATCTAAAACAACGACACGTCGGCGTTTAAAGGGAGGGAAGTCAGAGCCATGTCGGGGGTTTTCTTTAACGGCACACCTTGGCTGTTGGGGAAGACGGCTATGCTGTAGATGTAGTTGGTGTGACTGTAGTAGACCTGCACGCATTCACCCGTCACCTGCCACCGTCTGATGCTCGTGTCGTTGCTGCAGGAGAGGAACTCTGTGCTGCTGATCACTGCCAGCCCTCTCACACAGTCCTCGTGACCTACGGAAACACATCATTAATAAAGCAGCTGAAGGCTTTTCTTCTATAGCAGCTAAAAACATTCACAAACTCTGCTGAGAGCAACAAATGTTTCTCTTATTGAATCTGGACATGCTGAACTTTTACAAACACGTCATGAAGTTTGTTTGCTAAAATCAGTAACTTCAGTTTAGAAGTTCCTGCAACGA